CGCCCCCCCGCCCCCCCGACGCAGCAGCGGGTGCCCGGGGTGCCTCCGGGCGGGACTGCACCCCCGCTTTTCGTGCTGAGCAGCTGTGCTCGCACCCCAGAGCAACCCCCATGCTGGTGGACGTGGGTTTTCTCTGGGAAGTCCATCACTGGTTGGGATCGGCAAGCAAAACCGCCCTCCTGCTGTCACCGCGGGCGTAGGGCCCGCTTACCCTGCAGCATCCCCACCCCCCCAGTAAACACCATGGGGAGATGGGACAAGCTGTTGGGTGCAACGAGCTACTTTGAAGGCACCAAGGCACTGGCTTGCTGCGGTCGTGACCGCAGAGGGACCCACAGCCAGCCCCGCCGCTCGGGGCCTGCCCGCCGAAGAGCAGAGCGCTCTCCTCGCGAGGCCAATTACCTGCTTAATCGTGAAGTCGTTGATAAGGTGGTGGTTATGTTCGTTAAGGTTACAGTGCAACGAGACACAGTCGCTCTGGTAGAGCAGGTCCTGGAGCGTGTAGACCCGCTGGACTCCCAGGGACCTCTCTATCCCGTCCTGCAGGTACGGGTCGTAAAAGATCACGTTGAAGCCGAACGCCTTGGCTCGGACCGCGACCGCCTGCGCAGTGCGACCTGTGCGTGAAGGAAAGAGACGGGGTAATCGAACCAATTCCCACCTCCTCGGCTCCACGCAGCTGAGCTGCCCCCCACAGCCTCACCCCCCCGCCCCCCCAGCCTGGCCTGGGGACTGCTGTGGGGGTCCCCTGGGACCTGCCAGGCTTCCAGGACAAAGGGATGCTGGCTGGAAGACAGCCAGCCTGGGCCACCTTGCAGAGGGAGGGCTGTGCTCGGCTCTAGCAGATGTGGGAGGCTCGTGTTAAAATTGAAAGAAAACTCCCAACAAAACGAAGCGTGAGGCCGTCAGGCACGTGCCAGCTCAGGGCCGCTGGACGACGCGGCACCGTCCACGGCCCTGCAGGTCTGGTGGGGGAGGCACAACGTGCAGCTCAGCCCCACCGACGTGCAGCCCCGGTCATCGCCGAGAAACAACCCCCTGTCTACCAAGAAATGCCGAAAAAGGGAAGGGGAAAGAAAGCGCCGTGTTTTTTAGGCAATTTGTTTGGGATGGGTTTTTTCAGCCTCTCGCCGAACGGCTGGTTAACCGGGCCTGACGAAGACCACTGCCGTAAAGCGGCGGCCTCCCCCAGCCACTGCGCTGGGGAAGGATGGCTGGTGGTGCTGGAGACCCCGCTGCCACGAGGGCTGGCTCCAGTCACCCGTGTGGGGCACAGCCATGTCCCCCCCGTGCACGCACACACCCCCCCGACACCGCCACCGTGCGGGGTGGACCAGGGGACAGGGTGCCTGCATGGGCGTCCAGCTGCCAGCACACAGCTGGGCACGCGCTGCCGCCCTCATCCCGGCCCTGCCGGACACACCTGGGCTATCCCGGCTCTCCTGCTCTAACCTCACCCACCCGCCTTGCCTCAGTTTCCCCATTTAAACACGCCAGCTTTTTGCACTCGTTAGCCCAGGGCTTTGCAAGGCAACAGCATGAAGCACGTGGGGAACAGGCCTGCTGCACGGAAAGCAAGCGGAAATACTGTGGTCTGGCTCCTGGTCGGCACTGCCTCGACGGCAGCCACCCTGGGGGCTGGGGCTCAGTTACACTGGGGGGGCAGGGGCTCAGGAACGCAGGCAGAACTGCTCCCTAAACCAGCACCTCACTAAAATCTCCTCTGCTCAAGTTTCTGTCACTGTGTCTGGCCACCAAGCGCTGGGTGAGCTGCTGCTGCTGCCTGAACGCACCTCCTGAGCCACCCCATGAGTCCGCTCCCAAAAGGGGGGTCCAGGAGGGC